ACTTGATGGGAAATCCACAAGTTTGGTTTATCCGTTTATAGCTCTAATCTTGCGCAATCTTCCTGTTATAAATCCTACATTACTCGTGTAATAATCACATCGCAATTAAAATATAGCTGCAAATGCTTGATTTGATACGGTATCTCGGAGCCGAAACTTGTTTTAATCTTCTCATTGGTTTGCATATCCGAAGAATTTCTGCAGTTGACCATTTCGTATATTTGCGTCCCTATTACATAGTGAAAGAGATTGAGAATGTCTGGTGTGAATAAACGAGTCGTCAAAACAACACAGAGGTAGTGTTTGCGTTCGTTAATACTGCTTAGACCTCGGAAAAAGCCTCCTACGCATCATCCTAAATTGTCATCAACTCCGGTAATCACTAGCTATTTCTGGACCTAACTGTATAGGGCTCTTCTCCCAGTGAGATTGGGCTGTTTTCAAGTCCACATTTAACCTATCATTTTGCACGCTGTTTCCTGGTAACCATTATGTGCTCGCGTAAATTGTCTTTCTAGGGAAACGTTGGTGAGATTTGCACACCCACTCACAATTGCGTAGGAATTATCAAAGCCGTTGCGCCTAACGTATGCGCTATATCTCTGTACTAGCGTTTTAGGGCGGTTTTGGCATGAAATATGTGCGTTCCACTCGTCGGGAATCCCCTGATGGACCCTTTTGCTTGGAGGATGATAAATTTATACCCTTGCCTGAAATCCAGAAGATCGTTGTCCGTAACGTTAACCCTGTTGAGGTGCAGAAAGGTATGTTCGTTAGTCGTATATTTTTTCTTCAGAAGAGCTCGTGTTGGATGAGAATTCTTGCCAGCTTGATGATCCGGATACTTGCTTTCAGCATTATTTTACATCAAACGAGGATGCAGAGCCGTTTTCCTTGACTTCGGACGAGCATTTTCCTCCGGATCAAATGTTTGAAGTCAATAGACAAAAGTATAATATCACTTCTTCTTACCGTGAAAATCTTGAGGGTTACACGTAAGCATACAAATGATTCTGACTGCTGTAGAGTACCATTGGACAAGACCGATCCCGAGTATAAAGCAAAGGAGGAATACTACGCAAAGGTTGCGAAGGAAATTGAGGACAACAAATGCCTAGCTTCTGCGTGGGAAAGCTTGGCCGATGGTGAAATCGAAAACGAAGAGTTGAAATTTAGTGCTGTGTTGCAAGATGGTGTTCAAGGCAGGGAGCTAAAAAATACCTTTAATCGCGCCGCCAAGAGAGGTGGGCGTGGAAACAATCGCGCTTCCTTACCTCGAGAATGCTCTGAAGCACATAAATCTACAGAAACAAAGTCTCAGAAACCTAATTCTACCTCTCTACGCGATCAGAATAAGTCGTCCACCGACTCGGCAACAAGTAAGGCATCGTCAGATGCCGCTTTAGAAAAAGGGTCTCCAAAATCGGCCTCGCATGAGTCCCCTGTCACCACTGATGCTTCTACGAATTCAGCTGTATCGCCTTCGAAGGATTTGTCGAAGTCAGTTGAGGCTGTAGGAAAAAAGGATGATAAGAAAAGGGGTTTCCTCGATCCAGATGCACCGGAGTTCAAGCCATCAGGA